GGCGGGGACCGCGCAACGCTCAGTCCAGTACAAACCACGACCTTTCATAGGAAAGGTAGCTGCATGCACAGGGCTTGAACACTTAAAGAATGCCGGGTGCTCTTACAAAAATTGTTGCAGCAAAAAAAAAAAAAAAAAAAAAGATACGCACCCAAAGAAAAACAACAGGGTGTATTTTAGATAAATCACGATCAAGGGCTACCGCATTCAATTTTAGGTTTCATTTTCTGCTCAGTTTTAATGCCTATGCGATACTCGCACCTGGCTACATACTCCCCTTCTGTTTTTTTTTTGTTTTTTTTTCTAGATGGCCACCGGATGCCTAAAAGTGTCGGATGCCTAAAAGTGTCCTCCCCTTTTCTCGAAGCACTTACGTTGCTTCAGTCATATTTGAGTAATCGTAAGCAGTTTGTCTATTTAAATGGCTTTTCATCTAATACAAAGTCTGTTTTCTCCGGTGTATCTCAGGGGAGTATCGTGGGACCTTTGCTATTTAACATTTATATTAATGATATTGTTAACATAGATTCTCTTGCTAAATTTGTTATATATGCAGACGATACAACCCTTTTATTTTCGGCTAACACTAGTGATGAACTTATCAACTGCGCAAATGATACTTTAACAGGGTTGCAAAATTGGACATCCGACAACGGGCTTAAAATTAATAGTAGTAAAACCAAAGCAATTTTCTTTCGAACCAAAAATAAAAGCGTTCTTATAACGAAAAGTCTCGTAATAAATTTGAATGTTATAGAGATAGTGGAAAATTTCAAAAGTCTTGGCGTTATTTTTAACCAGTATTTGTCTTGGGACGACCATGTAAGCTATATACTTCCTCGATTGTCCAGGGTCATCGGATTAGTCTCACGAAACCGTTTTATTTTACCAAACAACGTTAAACTACTTATTTATCAAACTCTATTTGCATCCCACTTAAACTACTGCCACCTGGTATGGGGTACAACCACCAGTTCAAATCTTCAAAAAATACATCTATTACAAAAAAAATTGTTCGCCTCATTGCTAATGTTTCTTATATTTCAAGCTCCAAGGGCTTGTTTGAAAAATATAATTTGTTGCGTGTTTTCGATATGAATACATATAAACTTATGGTCCGTTTTAGGGTAGAAAAAAAAAAAGAAACGTGGATATTTTGGCCAAACTTTCTCAACTAAGGGAACATGTCGCCTCCTATCCAACTCGTTCGGCGGCACGTTGGGCTGTGCCTCTTTGCCATAACAACTATTCCATGCAGTATCTAAAGTATATGCTACCTACTTTACTAAATTTCCTCTTAAACAAAAACGTTGATATAATGTCTGTCACAATGCAAGATTTATTTTCTTATTTGAATTGAATATATTACTTTTCTGCGATAGGTTATAATCTATTTTTGTATACAATGTTGATATTTTTGCTGTTGCTTTTTATTTCTAATCTATCATGTGGAACTGTAAGAGAGCAGGGGGCTTCGTCAAGCTGTTAAAGAGCTTTTCCCCTCTGTTTCCTCCATTCCTGTATCGAATGGGAAATAAACTTCCTGTATCGAATGGGAAATAAACTTCGTTATTATTATTATAATACTGTAGACATCTTCAGCCTACATAGAAACCCAACGTTTATAATAATAATAATGTTTATTTTCCACCATAAGATGGTGGCGATCAGGGAAAAAAGCTGTCAGGTACAGCTTGACGGGTCCCTGACCGCCTACAGAAAGCAGCAACAGAGCCGGAAAAAACGATATTCAAGAGGAGAAAAGAAAAAAAAAAAATTGTACAATGATTGTCGCTATCACACATTTTAAAACAAATTTTAGATTTCTTTTCCCCTTTTTTACATTGAGGCAGGACAGACAGCAGAGATAAAAATTATGCAAAAACTAGTTACAAAGATCACAAAGAAAGAAAGGCAACTACCTTCAGCTGCTAGAGAAAAAAGATGATTTTACTTCTCTTAGGGATAACTTATCCCAATCTATACTTTTAGTCTTATACGAATTGAGTAAATTGGGGAGAGTGTATTTAAGCATTTGTTTGCCATAGTTTGTTCTTGGTGTAGCCACCTCCCAACATTCAGCACCTCGGGTAGGGTAATTATGAACATTTTTTGATAAATTTCCAAGATCTGTTAAAAAAGTTGAGTCTTTAAGTTGCTCTACTTTAAGGCTAGTGCTAAGCCTGTAATCATATAATGCATGCGCGTTTAATACGCGAAATTTTTGAAATAAGCCAGCTGTGTGAAAATCATACGAGACGGCAGCTATAGCCCTCAGTGCTTTTTTTTGCAATACATGTAACTTTTCTAGGTTTGTTAAAGTTGTTGTTCCCCAAACTAAATGGCAATAATTTAAGTGAGAATAAAATAGAGAATTATATATTAATAATTTAACGCTTGTTGGTAAAATATAACGATGTCGATTTAACATGCCCACAGTTTGGGATAGCTTTGGAATAAGAGAGTTTATATGACTTTCCCACGACATATTTTCAGAAAACGTGACACCTAAGAGTTTAAAACAATTCACAATCTCGATTTTGGTTGAATTCAAAACTATCTCCTTGGTAATGGTAACGAGTTTATTTTTAGGACGAAAAAGCACGGCTTTGGTTTTATTTACATTTATTTGTAATGCGTTGTATTCACTCCACGTTTGTAACCTAGACAGGGCCAGATTTGCCATATCGAATAATAGGTCAGGATCATCTGCAGAAAACAGTATGCTCGTGTCATCAGCATAGTTTACAAATTTTGCGCTTACATTAATATTGACTATATCATTCACGTACATGTTAAAGAGGAAGGGGCCCAATATACTACCCTGTGGTACACCAGAAGGAATAGGTTTTATAGTGGAAGAATTCCCATTGATATAAACATATTGTGCTCGATGCTTCAGATAAGATCTTATCAGCTGTAAAGCGTGCCCTCGAATTCCATAATTATCTAATTTAGATAGTAAAATTTTATGATTGAGGCAGTCAAACGCCTTGGTGAAATCTATAAAGACTCCAAGAACCATATTTTTGTTTTCAAAGCTTTGTAAAATAAATTCTTTTAAAACAAGTAAGGCAGATTCTGTCGACTTGTGTTTTATAAATCCATACTGTGATGGAGTTATCAAGTTATACTTATTTGAAAATTTAGTCAAACGTGTATGAATAACCTTTTCGAGCGCCTTGGAAAACACTGGTAATATTGAAATTGGCCTGTAGTTTCCCATTTCATTTACATTTCCTTTTTTATGCAATACTGAAACTTTGGCAATTTGCATTCGCTTAGGAAAAATTCCAGTAGATAAAGAGGTATTAAATATATGAGTTATTACAGGTGCTAACAGATGAATAACATGTTTTACCGGTCTTATCTGGATGCCATCGACGTCACAACTAGAACTATTTTTAAGCTGAAGAAACACGCTTATAATTTCTGGTTCGACGACGGGATCTAAAAATATCGAATCACTGTTCCGTTTATCATTTAAAACCAAAGGAGTTTCGGTTTCAGTAGTACCCAGAATATTTACAAAATGTTCGTTAAAAGCATTTGCCAGTGAACATCCAGTAAGTTCAGTACCATTGCACAGAATCTTTTCAATTGAACTGAAGGGGCGATTACGATAAAGAAGATAATTTAGTTGCTTCCACATGATGTCAGTGCGTCCTTGTGTGGCCTTGAACAAATCAAAATGATAACGCGTTCTGGCGCGCTTTAGTTCTTTTGTCAGGTTGTTGCGATAGTTTTTAAATACTTTAAGGTCCTTCTGGTCCTTGGATTTTATAAATCTACCATATAAAGCGTTTTTTATCTTAATTTTACAGAGTAAATCCCTCGTTATCCAAGGCTTCTTTATGCGCTTGTTTGTTTTAATAGAAGTGAAAGGAAAATATGTCTTATAAAGTCCAAGAAATAACTCTATAAAAGTGTTATAAGCCCCGTCAGCACTATCCTCACACAGTACCCGGCTCCAATTTGTATTTGAAACAGCGGTCTGAAAAGCGTTGAGTCGATCTAAAGTTATTTTTTGTACTAATGTCCGCTCTGTCCTACAATTGTTTTTCGGGAAACTTTTGAGAGAAATGAATATTGGGAGGTGGTCACTCAGATCGCAAACAATGACGCCAGCTTTTATATAATCGACTGAGCTGTTTGAAATAAACAAATCAATTAATGTTTCAGATTGGAGAGTAACACGTGTAGGTCTATTAATAACATTTGCACAACCATATGTCCTGATTAGCGAATCTAAACTTTTTTTAGCTACGGTTTCCGCGCTCATATCAATATTAAAGTCCCCACCACAAATTACATTACATTTTTCTTCATTAACAAAAACCAAAAAAGACTCGAAAAATTTTAAAAACGATTCAATGTTGCCGTTTGGTGGTCGGTACACCACAGCAAAGATATTCTGGTTATTGCGTATACACATCATTTCGTAATCTTGAGTGATGCAACTATAATCACCTATTACTTCACCAGAAACACTTTTTGTCAAAATGGCTAAGCCACCACCACGTTTCTCTTTACGATTTATGTAAAAAGAGTGGTATGTAGGGAGTTGTAGTACGTCAGTCTCTTCAGTGTACCAGGTTTCTGTAAGCATGATGACATCGAAAGAAAAACCAAATTGATCGAAAAGTAGCTCAAGATCTACAGCTTTGCTTTTCGCAGACCGAACATTTAAATGGAAACAGGTCATGTGTGAAATATAATCCGCACCAAGATAGGTTATCAAGTCTTGCGGAAGAACGAACGCGTCAATTGCCATAAAAAAACAAAAAGAACAGAGGATATTATCATCGACCGCCCTAAGATAGAAATTCGCGTATAAGATCCTGCAAAAATGTCCGTCTTTATCATCGTTAAAGTGACTTTTGAAGATAACGCCGTCGCAATAGCCGTACCCAGATTGTTTTTCTGCCACGCGGCAAGTAAACTTTTGGGTTTCATTTTGCAAGAACTAATAAAACAAAGATATTTAGCGCTGGTAGTTCCTATTTAATTTTTTCAAGATCGCCTTCATGCTCAATCCGAATGGTCGGTGCGCCTTCTTGTTTTCTCACGTATGAACAACCTTCCTTGTGCCAAATAAACTTGTAGCTGAGGTGCTTCGCCTTTGTTCTAACATCGTAGAACAACTTTCGGTTCGACGCCGTCATGTTTTCTTGCAGGTACACGTTGCCATCATCGGCTTCCGACCTTAACTTTTGCTTGTTTTGAAGCCATGCATTTCGCTCATTTCTGTTCACAAAGCGCACAATCACCATAGGCGTCTTCTTTGTCCTAGTTGGAACGCGGTGGATTGCCTCTACGCTATCTTTCGTTAGGGGCGGAACTTCTATCTGATCCGCGATTTTGTTAAGCTTTTCGAGCAAATTTTCATTGGTAGTTTCTACAAGACCGTGCACTTCAAGATTATTCCTTCGCCCGTATTGTTCCAATTTGTTTAGTTCTTTTTTTAGTTGGGTAGTTTCGTCAGTTTTCCGTTCTTGTTCTAGTTGATTCACCTTTTTCCTCAGTTCTTTTATTTCGCTGTCATGCTCTTTCATTTTTCTTAAGACTTCATCGTAGTTGTCGGACATTGCTTGCACCGATTTCTCAATGTCCATCACAGTTTGTTTCATGCCCACCAGCTCATCCACTTGTTGCTTTAGTGGCGCGAGTATTGTTAACATACCCATTATACGGGTCAGTTGCTGTTGAACATCTGGCGATTCATTTTTTGACTGTTCATCTTCCAGAGCGCTGCGAGTTCTTGCTCTAGCACTCAGACACGTTTGGCATTTCCAAGTCTCTTTGAACCCTGGCTTTTTTCCCCGGAGGGACTTTTCGGTTACGCCTGCACAGGTACCAATATGGTAGCGAAAGCGACATTCGCTACACTCCAAAACACCGTCATCATCGTCGATTTGCCCCTTACAATGGAAGCAGAAATCATCATCGTCTTTGTGTTTAGCCATCTCAGTAACACTTTTCGGAAAGCAGTCAGCGACAGGGATTTCAAGACACAAGTTGAAAAAAAGGGGTACTTTTCCTACCTGCAGAATCAGATGATTATCGTCTCGCCCGAGAGCCCTGTCGCTGACTGCTATCCGTCAATCCTGCGCAGCTCCTTTTGTAGCTTCTAGTGGCTTGGTGTCGCTTCAGCCGCTGCTGTCGCTTGCCCCGAAGCCCGTTGCTTGCGCCCGTTGACTTGCCCTTATCTTCGATGAAACGCGGTGTTGGCTGGGGCGTGTCGTTTCCGCGCAGTTTTCGTCTGGCGGGTAGCAGGGCCTGCAGAATCAGATGATTATCGTCTCGCCCGAGAGCCCTGTCGCTGACTGCTATCCGTCAATCCTGCGCAGCTCCTTTTGTAGCTTCTAGTGGCTTGGTGTCGCTTCAGCCGCTGCTGTCGCTTGCCCCGAAGCCCGTTGCTTGCGCCCGTTGACTTGCCCTTATCTTCGATGAAACGCGGTGTTGGCTGGGGCGTGTCGTTTCCGCGCAGTTTTCGTCTGGCGGGTAGCAGGGCCTGCAGAATCAGATGATTATCGTCTCGCCCGAGAGCCCTGTCGCTGACTGCTTCGAGGATCCCGAGAAGTTTATTCCAGAACGATTCATGGCAGAAGAGAATAAAACTCTGCGACCATTCAGCTACATACCGTCCTCGGGAGGCGCCATGAGTCGCTTAGGCATGCGATTTTTTCGTCTTCTTTGTTTTATTACAGTGCAGCTCTTAGGCGCCCGTTTCCGGCTTGAGCGGCGTCGCCGTCGCCGTCGCCGTCGGCGTGACCGCGCGGTGCATTATGGTTGAATTTTCTCGAAGGAACCCGAGGTCCTCCCGAAGAACCTCGGGTTCCTTCGGGAGGACCTCGAAGGACCTCGGGTTCCTTCGGGAGAACCTCGGAGGACCTCCAGTTCCTTCGGGAGGACCTCGGGAGGACCTCGGGCTCCTTCGGGAAGACCTCAGGTTCCTTCGGGAGGACCTCGGGAGGACCTCATGAACCTTCGGTGACCCCAGGTAGGTCACGTGACCCCCCGAACTCACGTGACCCCTCGAGGTCACGTGAGCCCCGAGGTCACGTGACCCCTCCCCAGGTCATGTGACGCCTCCCCCAGGTCACGTGACCCCCAAGGTCACCCCAAGGTCACGTGACCCTTTAGGTCACGTGACCCCCAAAGGTCACGTGACCCCTCGAGGTCATGTGGCCCCTCCCAAGGTCACCTGAAGTTCACGTGACCCCCACATGACCCCCCAAGGTCACGTGACCTCCCCCCCTCCGAAGTCACGCGACACCCTCCCCCGAGGTCACGTGAGCCCCTCCCGCCGAGGTCAGGTGACCTCCCGGCGTATATTAAAGAATGAGGGGAGGAGAAGGAGGAGGAGGAGGGGTCTAGCTCCCCTCAGTACCCTTCCCTCCTCCTCCTCAAGAGCTGCGCTCCAATTCGGCATTACAGGGAGCTGTAAACGGCTTTCACTTTTATTTTTATTATTACTAAAAACTATTATTTTTAAGCATATAGGTTTCAATCATCAGAACACTCGGTTGTCTCGTCGCTGGAACCGTTTCACTGGTCTTTTTCGAACTTGCTGCAGTCCTGAGTCACGTTGCATGTCTAGTTCCATCGTTTGGTCAATGATGCATTCCGAACTATAGGACCCAGAAATAATACAAAAAAATTGTGAACTAGGTTAATTACATAAATAATGTACGTATGTTTAACTGAAATCATATTCAGTCAAGATAGAAAAATATTATTTCTTTTAAATATTGTTTTCAGGATTCCCAATTTCTATTAACGAGCTTACTACCAACTATATTCTCAATTAAATACAAGAACCCTAATACCGTACACGGAGTTTTACCTTAATAAAATAGTGTCTGTACACATTGCCTTAATTTTTTTAATGCCATGTCTTTGCGAAGTTTACAAAAAAGTAAAGAAAAATCTTGGTATCCTAGATTTGAGAAAGTAGGCAGCGCGCGCGTGGCCTAACGGTTATTGCGCCTGCCTCCCACGCGAAAAGTCAGGGTTCGATTCCTGGGGGCCACGTATCCTCTGTCATTCCTGCAATATCGTGTTCTGGAAAGTTCGAGAATCCTGTTGCTTGTTCGACGTCCGAATGTTCTACGCGTCGAACCTTCTACGCCGATTATTCCAGAAGCCCACGGGTGTACATAAGGGGCTTCGCATGGCGAGCCGCAGTCAATTTCGCCGCATCGTTCAACTCTGCTCTTTCGCCGACTTCGACGCCCGCGACGCTCTGCTCGCGGGCATCGAAGTCGGCGATGCCCGCGAGCAGACTTCGATGCTCACTTCTGTTTCTTTTTTTATTTTTGGGCACAAGTTCGCCCTCATTAAACGTTTAAGTTACCCCAGTTATCCTTTGTTTCCTTGTTTGTTCCTTCGTGACATTTTGAAGGAGGTGCGGGTACCGCATGTCCATGCAGGGTTCTCCTTCAAGCCCGATTCCCGGCTCGTTGAGAAGACCACTCAGCGCGGAACCTGAAACTCGGAGCAGCCTCCGCACCAAGGGAGAGGATCCTGAGTACCGTTTGCTGCTGGACAAGCCCAAGCCGAAGAAGACGACGATGGCCAACCAGTCGCAGAACCCCGCCGCTCCTGCCGTCGTCTACCTACCCGTCGCTCCTCGGACACCGGCTCCCTTCCACGGCGAAAACCACGAAGACATCGACGACTGGGTCCAACAGTACGAACGAGTGGCCCGTCATAACGGGTGGACACCAGAACAGTGTCTACAGAATGCGTACTTCGCCTTGGAAGCAACCGCACGGAACTGGTTCGAGAACTACAAAGCATCGATCACCTCCTGGGACCAACTCAAAGCTGAGTTGCGAAGAACATTCACGAACCAACAACGAAGAGAACGCGCGGAAGTGCTTCTTCAAGCGAGGATCCAAGGCCCTAATGAGAGCGTCGTTAGCTTCGTGGAAGATGTCCTGCGACTCAGCATCCGCGCCGATCCTCAAACACCCGAAGCAAAGAAGCTCAGAGTCTTGATGCGCGGCGTGAAGGAGAATATTTTCGGTGGCCTTGTGCGAGCCCCGCCTATCACAGTCTAAGGGTTCATCACGGAGGCAACAAACATTGAACGTGCCCTTGAAGCACGGGCCTCCCATTACCAGCAACTTCCCGGCGTCGCGGCCCTCTTGACTTCCAGCTGCAACACCCCGGATCTCCACGAGATTATCCGGGACGTCGTGCGGGAGGAAATCAGGAAGCTGCTACCTGCTGCCCCAAGCCCGGCTACGCCCTCAGCCGCCGAGATTGTCCGGGAAGAACTTCAGCAGGGACGAGCTCTTGCAACGGGTGCAGTCATGCCAGTCAAATCTACTCGCTCGCCGCTTGCGCGGCCTTCGCAGTTATTCTATGCAAGGGTGATAATCTGTCGTATTAAACACAAGTACAGCTCCAGAAAAATTAGTACAAAATTACTCCGGCTAGGCTCTGTCACCTCCGGCACACGTAACCTTCATTTGCATCAGGAGTGACGGACGGCACCGGGCGAATGGAGAACACTAAAGGCCCGTTCACACTCTTGCGACCGACTTTGACCGAGAGAGACCAGACCGGTTTTTAAGCCTTTTGCGACTTCTTAGGACCGGATGCTATGCAGCGGAGCTGGTCCTAAGAAGTCGCAAGAAGCTTAAAAACCGGTCTGGTCTCTCTCGGTCTAACTCGGTCGCAAGAGTGTGACCGGGCCTTTATTTTGATGTTCCTGAGAACGCGACGGGTACAGGCGGCAACGTCGACAACATGCACCAGCACGGACGCCGCCCAGCCGCCGAGCACCCGGCCACACACACGTCAAACGACCTACATTTCAAAATGCAGTCAGCGGCATCCAAAGAACACGTGTTGTTTACGTCAAAATAACTAAGTCGTAAAAATAAAAGCTGTTATTTTGACGTCCGCGACGCCATTGGCCACGCCCCCTCAGTTTCAAATCGGTGCCGAAAATACGCAGCCACACAATCACAGACACCAGCCGACGGCCATGATCCCCGCTGATGGTGTTTACCGGATCGGCTGGAAATCAGATCGATCAGATCGCGGAATGCAAGTCTTGAAAAGTTCTACAGCCTAACGATATTTCATAGCCATAAATCGGTATATCTACGACCAATGTATAACTTTTTTTTCACCCTGCAGCTAAATTATAACGCGTCTTATTTTTGTGGGATACGAAGCAACGGCTTGTTTTACTCCGCGCGCACGTGAGAGCTGTCAACGCTGCTGCTCCAAGGTCATGGAATATGTTCCCGCCGTTCTCCTTCCGCGCGACGAACGAAAAAAACCAGGGGCCCGAATCTGGACACTTGGCGGAAAAGTCGGCGAGAAATTCAGCGGCTCTGATTGGCCGGCGCCAAGGTCAAGTGTGGCGTTGGCCAATCGCGGCCGCCAGATTTCTCGCCGTTGTTTTCGCCAAGCGTCCAGCTTAGGGCCCCAGGACGGCTCCGTCCCCTCCGTCGTAGTGAGCTGACGTCACGTACTGGGAGAGGAGGATATGGAGAGGCCTTGAAGTAGTCTAGGTGGTGCTGTTACGGCGCGACTTGACACCCAACGTTACTCTCAGAATGGTTTGACACCGTCGTGCCACATGACACTTTGATATCACATTTCATCCTGACGTCAAGTTACCCAGCGTGGCTTGACGCACGTCACGTGGTGAGGTGCTCCCGTGTCTCGTAGTGGAATCAAACTACGTGACCATAAGACCGATACTGGCGTCCCGCTAGATTTAGCAGCACGTTAGCCCGCTAAATTTAGCTGACGTCGGCTCGCTATACGGCGACAGCGAATCCAAGGAAATATCAACGTCGCTTCAGTTAAAAGACATTATTAATTTAAATAATAAACAATCTTTATAATGGCAAACGTCTTACCACCGATCTTTTTTTTTTTTTTGCCAAATAGTATTTTCTATGTTTCGAGTTTACGTTAAGTGCAAGATATTGAC